TTTTATTAATTATAATTTATAAATTAATATTTACATTTTTCTTTTTTAATTTAAATTAAATTATATATATTATATATATAATTTTTTTATCAGGTACTCATTATAAATTCCTTATTACAAATGATAGAAAATCACTTTACAGTGTATTTATTTTTAATTATGAAAATGTTAATGACTCTCAAATTACATATCACACTATATCACTGAAGCAAAAAATGGTCGAATTAAACTTTTTCCCATTCTTTCTATTTTCATTTAGCCTTCAGTTATCAAGCTAACAGCTTACGTCCTTTGAACGGTTTCTCTTACTCCTTTATGTTCGTCCCACATAAAGTAGCGCCCCCTACTGGACATTCCGCCGCATTCACGACCCGCCAGCCAATTGCCTTTCTCTCTGTTGCCATGGCGACCCGGAGTGATGTAGTCGGGTAGCCGAGTCCTCTTTCCTGTGTGTAATGATGACAAAAGCTTTCCCGCGGCAGAGCTACGAGATAACGCACTTATCTCAGACCTCTAGCTTGCACCTCTCTCCTCTCATCCGCTCCCTGTGGCTGTATTCCTCACCCCAGACACTTTATTCTGCCGCTAATAACGTTGGTTTTTTTCTTCCCTCACTCCTGGTGGCCGCGCTCCCCAGAGTCGCCTTGAAGACCTGCGACATCGCAGTGCTGACCGAGCGCTTCCTCTCACATCTGTTGATTAATGCGTCGCCTCCGTTTACCGGCAATAGGATGCGTAATGTGTTGGTTAAGAGATGCACGCGAACTGATGTTTAAACTCATTTGTATTCAGCGCTGGCGAATTCCGAGGCCAAATTAAATAGTTTTATCAAGGCCGTCTGATTATGGGTTGTGAGTGCTTGTGCGAGATAGTGTTTAAATATTGATTTTTAACCTGAAGAAGAACGACTTTCATGGACGCGCTGTTATAGAAGACGTTAAATGTTGTTTGGTACAGTATAACCATCATCAAACACAATAAGTGAAGTTCAATTGACGTAGAAGGGCATTGGCGTTAAAGGAATAGTTCAGCCAAAAATTAAAATTTGCTGAATTTTTATTCACCCTCAGGCCATCCAAGATGTAGATGAGTTTGTTTCTTCATCAGATTTGGAGAAATGTATAATTGTATCACTTGCTCCTCTGCAGTGAATGGGTGCCGTCAGAATGAGAGTCCAAACAGCTGATAAAAACATCACAATAATCCACAAGTCTCAAGTCCATCAGTTAACGTCAAGTGAAAAGCTGCGTTAAACAAATTCATCATTAAGACTTTTTAACTTTAAACTGTTGCTTCTGGCCAAAAAAATGAGTCCACAATCCATAATAACGCTTCCCCCAGTGAAAAAGTACATCCCTTGTCCTCTCACATCCATTAAAGAAGTTAACTGATGGACTGGAGTCGTGTGGATTATTTGTGGATTTCTGTGATGTTTTTATCAGCTGTTTGGACGCTCATTCTGATGGCACCCATTGACTACACAATGCTACATTTCTCCAAATCTGATGAAGAAACAAACTCATCCTAATCTTGGATGGCCTGAGTGCGAGTACATTTTCAGCTAATTTTAATTTTAGGATGAACTATTTCTTTAACAAGTTGTGGTTTTCTTCTTTTGCAGTCCCTGAGTTTCGAGTGATGCACTCATTCTTACTGTACAGTCCCGCTTGAAGGCAAACAAGCCGTCAGATCAGATTTGTGGTTGCGTCTGATGTCTTGTTGCACGTTGTTTGGCTCCGCTCTAATGCTTCTTCATTAGTGTGTTTTTATAGGCGACAGCAGCATGTGAAGACCTTCATACACTTCACTCCACGTTCATTAAAGCTTTTAGTGCAGCCTCGTATTTTCCATTTGCAGCAGTTATCTCCAGCATTTCTCGTTTTATGTCTTTAAGTAAATTATAACTTTTGGCTCTGTGTGGATGCTTTCTATAAAACCGTTTTTAAAAAGTAGAAGAAAATTGATGTGGCAGTAACGAAATTTAAAATGTTATGATTTCTATTTTAAATAAACTGTTCTTTTTACATTCATCAAAGAATCATAAAAATAAAATCTATCACTTTTTCCACAAAAAATAAGCAGCAGCACAACTGTTTTCAACATTGATAATAATCAGAAATGTTCTTTGAGCAGCAAATCAGCATATTAGAATGATTTCTGAAGATCATGTGACACTGAAGACTGGAGTAATGATGGTGAAAATTCAGCTTTGATCACAGGAATAAATCACATTTTTACATCTATTCAAATAGAAAATGGCTATTTTGAGTTGTAATAATATTTCACAATTTTACTGTATTTTAATCAAATAAATGATGCCTTGGTGAACAGAAGAGACTTCTTTCTAGGGCTGCAAAGCGATTAGTCACAATCAATCTATTCAAAATAAAAGTTTATGTTTACATACTATATGTGTGTACTGTGTATATTTATTATGTATATATAAATACACACACATACATGTGTATATATTAAAATAAAAATGTTAGATTTATATGTAAAATATTTATATTTATATATAATATAAATTATATACAAGAGTTTACATACAAATACATACAAATATATATATTTAATATATATACATATATGTACAATATATATACACTACCATTCAAAAGTTTGGGATCAGTAAGACTTGTAATGTTTTTTAAAGAAGTCTCTTCTGCTCATCATTTATTTGATCAAAAATACAGAAATAAAACATAATCTTGCAAAATGTTATTACAATATAAAATAATGATTTCTATTTTAATATCCTTTAAAATATAATTTATTTCTGTGATGCAAAGCTGAATTTCCATCAGCCATTACTCCAGTATAAAGTCTCACATGATCCTTCAGAAATCATTCTAATATGCTGATTTATTATTAGAATTATCAATGTTGGCAACAGTTGTGCTGCCAAATATTTTTTTTTTGGAAACCGCGATACTTTTTTCAGGATTCGTTGCTGAATAAAAAGTTAAAAAGTACAGCATTTATTCAAAATATAAATCTTTTCTAACAATATAAATCTTCGCAATCACTTAACAATTTAACACATTCTTGCTGAATAAAAGTTTTAATTTCTTTAAAAAAAAAAGAACGAATAAAAATTTACTGACCCCAAACTTTTGAACGGTAGTGTATATTGTTAGAAAATATTTCTATTTCAAATAAATGCTCTTCTTTTTAACTTTTTATTCATCAAAGAATCCTGAAAAAAAGTATCACAGGTTCCAAAAAAAATATTAAGCAGCACAACAGCACTGTTTCCAGCACTGATAATAAATCAGCATATTAGAATGATTTCTGAAGAATCATGTGACACTGAAGAAAGTATCACGGGTTCCAAAAAAATATGAAGCAGCGCAACAGTTTCCAGCACTGATAATAAATCAGCATATTAGAATGATTTCTGGAGAATCATGTGACACTGAAGACTGGAGTAATGATGATGGAAATTCAGCTGTGCATTACAGGAATAAATTACATTTTAATGTATATTAAAATAGAAAAACTTTATTTTACATCATAATAATATTTCACAATATTACATTTTTTCCTGTATTTTTGATCAAATAAATGCATCTTGATAAGCATAAGAAACTCCTTTAAAAAACATTAAAAATCGTTCTGATCCCAAACTTTTGAACGGTAGTGTATATATGTGTGTGTGTTTATATATACGTAATAAATATACACAGTACACACGCATATAGTATGTAAACAAACTTATTTTGAATCGATTAATCGCAACTAATCGTTTTGCAGCCCTACTTCTTTCAAAAACATAAAAAAAATCTCTTCTGATCAGTAGTTTATAAAACCCACAAGCCTTATAAAAGTGATTCAAGAAAAGTCAAGATTGAAATCACCCAGACAGCAAAAGGAGTGCTAGAAAATGTCTTCATAACTCAGTTTGTTCTGCAGTTTCTTAAGTCAACTTTACAGTCGCTTCTGCACTGCTTTTGATCAGCTGCAATCACTCTGACAGCTACAAGAGAAAGTTGGAATCGTACTTTTTAAAACTGCAGGAGAACTTGTATGAACCGAGGACGTCTAATCTCTTATGTTTGCGGCCGGTTTCATGTTCTCAGTCTAGAAGAGCAGATTGCTGTCACCTCCCACTCATTGCTCTGTGCTTTTACTTCATGTAATGTGAATGATGACACGAGTGTGTTAAATCAGGACACTAAAGCCTTGTTTTCTTCTGGCAGAGCATGTGTGCTCCATCATCGCCTCCATGCTGAGGAACCTCAAAGGGCAGCAGAGAAGTCGTCTCCTCAGCAAGTTCACGGAGAACGACTGCGAGAAGGTAAAAATAAGACAGCTGACGGTACGGCTTTATTATCTTCTGCTTCTAAAAACGGCGGAGTGACGACAAAAGAGCGCTTCAGGATAGTTGGCTGGCAGATGGGTTTAATGCTGCCATAAAGATAATATAGACTGTTTCTAGCGTTTAGTCAGAACATGCTGTGCTTCTTTCTGACCATTTAAAAAGAAATGTTGTGCTTTAAAATTGTAATAATTGTAACATTTTAAATACGTTCTGAACTGTTAACAAGTTCTGCAATTTAAACTTTTATCACTATCATCTTTTCATTTCGCTTTCTTTTTTATGCATTGATACTTTTGTTTTTTGCTTTTCAATAGTATGTTTGTTTTTTGTTGGATGTGTTTCATTTATTTATAATTAATTAATTTGCTAGTTGTTTTGTATACTCTTTTGTTTATTCATTCTTTTAATTCTTTGAGACCTACATTTGTTCTTTGTTTCATTCATTGGTTTAATTTTTTGTTTTGTTATTTTCGGTTGGTTTTTGTTGGTTCTCTTTCTTTTATTTGTTCATTTATTTTCTGTTCATACTTTTATTCATCATATCATCATCATTTTGGTTTGTTCACCCATTTTCATTTATTCTTCTCTGTTCTTTCATTGAGTGTTCTTTATTTCCTTCAGTTTTGTTTTGCTTTTGTGCACTCTTTTCAATTTTGGGATTTTGGGATATTTTTCTTTAAAATCTTTTAGTTTATCATTTATTGTCGGTTTCTTCATCCTTTTTTGCTTTTTGTTTTTTCATTTGTTATTTATTTCATGCCATTTTGTTTTGTTTGCTCTTGTTGGTTGATTTTTGTTTTTCTCTTTTGTTTATTATTGTTTTTTATTCATTATTTGATAAATTCCTTCAATCTATAATTTATTTCTCTTTTGATTTGTTAGTTTGTTCATCCATTTTCATTTGTTCTTTTGTTTGTTCTTTCGTTTGGTGTTCTTTATTTCCTGCCGTTTTGTTTGCTTGTTTGTTGGTTTTTGTTTTCTCTATTTCTTCTTTTGTCCATTTGTTAGTTTATTTCTTCTTTTTTTCCAGTTTGTTGCTTTTTGATCCTTTTTGGTTGCTCTTTTGTTCTTTATTTCCTGCCGTTTTATTTTGTTTTGTTTGCTCTTGGTTCTTTTGTTGTTCTCTATTTCCTTTTTGCTTTGTTGGTTTGCGGTTTTGTTTTCTCTTGTTGGTTTCTTTTTGTTCTTCTCTTTTTTTGTTTGTTTATTTCATTTGTTGCTCCTGCCATTTTGAGTTTTTACTCTTGAAGAAGTAATTTCTTATTCAATTTGGTTTGTTTACCTTTTTTCATTTATTCTTTTGTTTGTTCTTTATTTCCTGCCATTTTGTTTTGTTTGCTCTCGTCTGTTCTTTTCATTCTTTTTTTTTTTTTCATTAGTTCTTTATTTTCTTTGTTTTGTCGGTTTACTGTTTTATTCAAACTTGTTGGTTGGTTTTGTTCATTCTTTTTCTTCCTTTTCGTTCATTTGTTTTTATTCATCTCTTTATTAATTCTTTTAGTCTCTTGTTTGTCAATGCTTTTTTGTTTATTCTTTCATTTATTTATTTCCTTCCATTTTGTGTTATTTTCTTGCTGTTTTATTTGCTCGTCTGTTGGTTTTTGTTCTCTCATTTTGGCTCTTTTCTTTCCTCTTGCTTGTTTTCTTGGCTTTCTCTCTCTCTCTCTCTCTCTCTCTCTCTCGTTGTGTCGTTCAGTCGTGCATCAGTATAATGTTTCATGCCGGTGTTGTTTGGACTGTTTTCTCCTGTGTCCTGTGTTATACGTCTCCTTTAGTCTCTGTCGGGGGTCTCCATACATCACCTGGACGGACATGTGTGCTGTTATCGCTCAGCAGTCACTACTCTTAAAATAACCCTCACAGTCCTGCCGGGGCCTGTTTCATCACTCTGACAGCAGCAGTGCATTATTGGTAGTTTCTGGAGCTAAAAGATTTCGGCCATATGGGCGTCATGCCTCGCTTCTGTTCGTCTTCAGATTGTCACAGGAATTGCTGGAAAGGGGATGACGAATGCTTCTGCTTGTCTTTAAATAACACAGCCGCCATCCGTCTTGTTCGCCGCAGTTAAATATGAAAGTCATTCACATAATGCAAATGTGGGTCCTAAAGCACATCTCTGGTGTGTTTGGGTGCATTTGTAACGCGCTCACCCTCGTTCGCTCTCTTCTGCAGGTCGACAGACTCATGGAGCTGCATTTTAAGTACCTGGAAGCCGTTCAGCTCGCAGACAAGAGGATCGAAGGAGAGAAGCACGTAAGATTCACACACACACACACACACACACACTCATATATATTTAAGTTATACTATTTTTAAAATAATTTTAATTACACTATTCTTTTCTTTTTTTTTACAAATCTCTTCTGCTCACTAAGACTGCATATATTTGTTTACAAAAAATACAGTAAAATTGTGAAATATTATTACAATTTAAAATAACTCTCTTCTTTGTGAATATTTAATTTAATTTGTAATTTGTTTCTGTGATGCGCAGCTGAATTTTCAGCATCATTCCTCCAGTCTTCAGTGTCACATGATCTTCAGAAATCATTCTAATATGCTGATTTGCTGCTCAAGAAACATTTCTGATTATTATCAATGTTGAAAACAGTTGCGCTGCCAAATATTTTTGTGGAAACCGTGATACATTTATTACAGATTCTTTCATAAATAGTTTAAAAGAACAGCATTTGTTTGAAATATAAATCTTTTGAAACGTTAACGAATCTTTTGAATACATGTCTTTACTGTCACTTTTGGTCAATTTAATACGCCATTGCTGAGTGAAATATAACCACGCTATATTGATTATATCACAAAGGTGATCAGGACCCCGATGTGAATCTGCCTGATAAATCGTACTTTAATCATGATCACGATTGCTGCTTCTCTCAATTATAGCATAATCATCTGTGATATTTACCCGCCATTTGCGTTTGCATTGGGAACAAGCCTGAAACAAGCTTTCATGGTTGCGGTTGCCAGATTTTAAGAGCCCTCGAAACGCATTTGGGCTTGTTTTAGGCTAGTTTTGAGTAGCAATTGGGCGGGTTTTGTTGTGAAAACCTGGCAACCCTGCTTTGCAGAGATGTTTTAATGGTATCAACAGTTCAAACTGGATTGAATTAAATCGATTCAGTTCTCTAATTCAAAGATTCACTTGCATCATCACTCAAACAAAGTTGTTTGTTGCTTAATTTTACATGACCAGCAAAACCACTGAGCAGTTTGTGAATGTTCAATATGCCGCTCAGCTCTTGTTTCAGGTCTTTGTGCAGGTGTGTCGATTTAAAACCATCTCCTCTCTCTGTGTGTGTGTGTGTGTTTCCCATCCACCTTATCTGACTTTCTGCTCTGCGTCGTCTTCAGAGGCCTATAAATCGTCTCTCAGAAGCGGTGACAGGAATATGACCGTGGAAATGTCTGCTCTTGTTTCGCGCCCGTCGACTGAGCGCACCAGCACTCCCTGCAGATGGAACAGTGTTCGAGGCTTTCTCCGAGCGCTATAAAAGTATATCACCCATAGCAGAGCCCTTGTTTAAAAACGCCTCGGAGTGCTGTCAGCGCCGCACTCATGTCAACCCGTCTCGCCTTCTTTTATTGCCTAATGACAGCTACAAATTCTCTCCGAATTGCATTTCCTAAACACAGACCCCCATAAACCCTCTCTGCGTTCGGTCTGCTCGTCTCCTGCTCTTCTCGTTTTGCCGCAGCGCCCCACATGCGCGCACACACGCACAAGGCTCTTTGGGAAATCTCGAAAGGATCCACGGAGGAAGTGCTGGCAGGGTGTGCTCGGATTAATTTAGTCTCGGCGTGTCCCGTGAGACTCAATCACAGGTCCTGGCGCTGCTTTGTTCTGCCTGTCATATTAACACCTGTGCCAGTCTGCAGTTCTCCAACAGGAAGTGACTAAAAATCGCTCTGTTTCCCGGAGGTGAAGCTGCTTGTTATTTGCACTCGTGTAATTGACTTGCCGAAGGCTGTGCCTCTGTAACGAGACTTGAATAACACCTGTAAAAGATCGAAACGCTTGACAGCGTGATGACGATGAACATATTTTTTTGCACACTCTTTAAATCAGTCCTTAAGTAGGAACTGAAATTCCTTAAATTAACATGTGTTACTTGTCCTATTTTGCTTAATTCAACAGTGCACAGTATTAATGTATGTATGTACTTAATATATACATATATTATATTCATATACATTTAATATAAATGTATAGCTAATTTTTAAAACATTTATTTAAAATATGAAAATTAAGTTAAATATGTATATATATGTGTGTGTATATTTATATATATGAACATATATGCATGAACATATATATATATATATATATATATATATTTAATATGAATATATAGCCTATTTACAATAACATTTATTTATTTTAAATATTAAAATTAAATTAAATAATGTATGTATGTATGTGTATATATTAGTGCTGTCAAACCTTTAATCGCGATTAATCACATCCAAAATAAGTTTTTGTTTGCATAATATGTGTGTGTACTGTGTATATTTATTATGTATATATAAATACATACACATACGTTATATATTTAAAAAATATTTACATGTCTATTTATATTCATATAATTTATATTATAAATAAATATATTTAAACATAAACATATTTTTCTGAAATATGTACATGCATGTGTGTGTATTTATATATACATAATATACACAGCACATATACATATATTATGTAAACAAAAACTTTTATTTTGGATGCGATTAATCACGATTAATCATTTGACAGCACTAATATATATATAATTACAAGAAATTACAAATAATGTGATATGTACGTTACAATACTATATATTAGGGCTGTCAGTTTAACGCATTAACTTAATTAGTTATGAAAAAATAACGCAATTAAAATATTTTAACGCAGTTAACGCACTGGCCCCGCCCCCAAACCTGTACGTCATCTTACATTCCATTCAGTTGACTGTTGACAAATATGACGCAGGGCAACAACTTCATAAATGCAGTTATGCACTAAAATTCAAGATATTGAATTGAAAAAATGCCCCTGTATGAGTTTTTGTCTCATATTTATATCGTAAGTGATATTACACGAGCGGCGAAGTGCTGTTTTTGTCACGAAGAACACGAGTGCAAATGTGATTTTATACAACAGTTCAGTAAATAAGAAGTTAATATTGTGTTAAATATTAAAGCCACAGCAGAACTGTTGTGCATCTCCGTGCAACAATTTCTGAATGAATCCTTGAATCGTGTGAACCAATGATTCAATAGCCTATTCATAAAGTGAACCGTTTACTTCATTCCTGAATGAATCAGCCGTTTGAACTGCTGGTAGTTTTAGTTTCTTCTTTAGAGTATCATTTAATTTATTAAAAAAAAAAATAATAAAACTACTACTTGCAAGTTGATTTAAATGAAACATTAACATATTTCTGGTCTTAATTTGCTTGATTCATCAGTCCACATTATTTTAAATAAAAGAAAGTTTGTCTTTTTAATCTTTTATCAAAATGTAATTAACTTGCATGGCCACTGAAACAACTTTTCTTTTAAGCTAGCATCAGCAAGGTCGCACAGACTCTGTTGGTTAATGCTAACCAATAGCCAAATAGCTATTTAATCATTGTTTTAGGCTGCTGTTATAGAGAATTTTATGAAACCTTCATGAGACACAATACTGTTCATTTAATAAAATTTTACATTTACGCATTTGGCAGATTCTTTATTCAAAGTGACTTGTATTGCATTCAATGCATACATTTTAAAAGCTCATGCAACCCTGAGAAGCGAACCCATGACTCATATTGTTACATGCTCTACATTTTGAGCTACAGGAATGAATGAATGCTTGATTTGAAAAGGAAAGGCCACTATTGAGACGCTCTGCAAGGTGAACTTGACCTTCATCCTGCTCAGAAATCCCACTTTTCCCAATGCAAATCATTTTGAATGGATAAAATCACATGCTGTCCACAAGAGTTGCATTGAATGTGATTTGACATGTTCTGTTTTTTTGGACAACGTCTGAATGGTTTTGGCACAATCTAAGCGTGGTTCTCTCAGAAAGCCTCTCGCCACGATCAGAGCCACGTTCTGTGTGTCTTCAGCAGCCCGTGACGGCCAGCTCTTGCCAGCCTGCTGTTCCTAAGGCATTCCCTTTGTGTTCACAAGCCTTTCTGCTCGTGCACACTCTCACACGCGTGAGCTTGCCAGCGTTTTATGCTCGAAAAGATTGAAATCCCCTGGAGAGAGGCCAATGTCAATCGCCGCAATTATGGCACTCAACAAATGCCAAGCATCTTTGTCCCTTTAGATTCGGCTGCAGGTGCTGAAAAGCTGAAGTGTGAGAAAAAATCACCTTTTTGAAGTGATCTGAGATCATTATCCAGAGCCTTTTGAACATGCATGGAGCTGCGGATCAATCACTGCATGTGGTTTTCTTGCTAATCAATATGCATGTATTAGGTTGGCTTGAGAAAGACAACCTACTGATCTACTATTTAAGCTGCTGCTTCTAAGACTACATTTTAATTATATTATTAATTTAAATTTAAATTAGGATTAATAATTTTAAAATGTATCTCCTCCTAGAACTCAGGTCATACCTTCAGACTGGTCTGACTCGGGTTGCTGTATCTTTTCTAACTGATCGGACGAAAATTTCCATAGACTTTCATTGAGGGGGTCAAAACTTTTGTACAAAAGACTTTTGCAAAGACTTATCGCGTGTTTAAGCGGTCTATCACCAGCAAAGCTTAATGACTGTCCTATAGGACAACATGTTAAATGCTAGGAACATGCTAATTCATGGTAGTAGCATGAAATAGCATGCAAGCAACATGTTAAAACTTGGTAGAAACATGTTAACAACATCCTAATCATGCTAACAACACTGTAATTGTTGTTAAAATGTTAATCATGCTAAAAACACTAGCAGCATGCATATCATGATAGGAACATGCTAACAACGTGCTAATCATAACAACATGTTAATTGTGCTAGAAACATAAGCATGATAAAAACATGCTAACAGCATACTAATCATGCTTACAACATGGTAATTGTGCTAGAAACATGTAATTATCACGTTAGAAACATGCTAGAAACATGTTAATTATGCTAAAACAGCCAAGCAACATGCTAATCATAAAATAAACATGTTAACAATGTGCTAATAATACTAACAACACAGTAATTGTGCTAGAAACATGTAATTATCATGTTAGAAACAAATGCTAGCAACATGTTAATCGTGCTAGAAACATGTTAGCAACATGCTAATCATGATAAAAACATGCTAACACTAATTGTGTTAGAAACATACTAGCAACATGTTAATTATGCTAAAACATCCAAGCAACATGCCAATCATAAAATAAACATGTTAACAATGTGCTAATAATACTAACAACACAGTAATTGTGCTAGAAACATGTAATTATCATGTTAGAAACATATACCAGCAACATGTTAATTATGCTAAAACATCCTAGCAACATGCTAATCATAAAATAAACATGCTAACAATGTGCTAATCATACTAACAACACAGAAATTGTGCTAGAAACATGCTAGCAACATGTTAGAAATATGTTGACAACGTTCTAATCATACTAACAACACAGAAATTGTGCTAGAAACATGCTAGCAACATGTTAGAAATATGTTGACAACGTTCTAATCATACTAACAACACAGAAATTGTGCTAGAAACATGCTAGCAACATGTTAGAAATATGTTGACAACGTTCTAATCATGCTAACAACACTGTAATTGTGCTAGAAACAAGTTAGCATCATGCTAGCAACATGCTAATCATGTTAACACAGTGCTATCATAATCTATGTAAACTTTCAAACTTGCTTCAGACTTTGAGGCTAGGCTTTTTCAAGCCAACCTTAAAGTTTGTTACCAAATTTTACTAATCTAGTTTATTATTAAGTGTCTAATGGTCATTTATAAATTTCAGGATATGGTTCGTCGTGGAGAGATAATCGACGATGCGATGGACGATGAGTTTTATCTGCGGCGGTTGGACGCCGGACTCTTCGTCCTTCAGCTCCTCTGTTATATCATGGTGGAGATCTGTAACGCTGGCGTTCCTCAGGTACGTTACCATCCTTTCATGTGTGATTAAAGCTGAATGTTTTTAATTCTGCATGCTGAAATGTGTTTTCTCTTCCAGTTACAGCAGAGAGTCCATCAGATCCTCAATCTCAGGGGAGGATCCGTCAAAATAGTCTGTCATATAATGAGAGGTAAGATTACAAATGATTTCAAAAGCTTATGTCAACATATAAAGACAAAATATACTTAGCATACATAAAATTAAGCCTATTTGTATGACCCTTAGGATTTTTGTGCACAGTGACATTATTTTCATAACCGTTAAATGTATATTCCACCCAAATTTTTGTTACTGTAATGCATCAGCTTATTTTATTTTAGTGTTTTTCATTATTTTCACTGGTTATTCTCATTCAATTCTGATTACTGTACTAATACGGTAAAAATATTGTAATACATTTCTTAATTTTATTTTTTACGTAAATATAATGTATTTTTTTATTTTAATTTGAATAATATGGCATTATTTCTGTGCACTACACTAGTAAGAATGAAAATATTGTGGCATTACAATAATGAGATATTGTGGGGTAATTGTGTTTAATTGTCATGAAAATATGTTTCAATGCAATATATACTGTGTGTGTATATATATATGTATATATACATAGTGCTGTCAAACGATTAATCGTGATAAATCGCATCCAAAATAAGTTTTTGTTTATGTAATATATGTATGTGTACTGTGTTTATTTATTATGTATATATAAATACACACACATACAGTATATATTTTGAAAATATTTACATGTATATATTTATATAATTTATATTATATGTAAATATATTTAATATACAAATATAGCAATTTTTCTTAAATATATACATGCATGTTTGTGTATTTATATATACGTAATAAATACAGTACACATACATATATTATGTAAACAAAACGTTTATTTTGGATGCGATTAATCGTTTGACAGCACTATATATATATATAACTAATATCTAAATTGAATCAAACCAGTGTTATTTACACTGATGTTAGTATAGTTTAAATATTTTAATAGTTTATGTTTCTCTATTTGTTCTATTATTTTCTTATATTTTATTGTATTATTGTTTATTATAATATTTTTATATTATTTATTATAATGTTTATTATTCTATATTTATTGATTATAATACAAAATTGTATTATATTATTTTTCTATTATTTGTCACTTATTTTAGTACATTAAATTAAATAAAACGAGAAATGTTGCCTTGGCAACTAGCTGGAATAAAAAGATTTTTATATTTTATTTTTAGTTTGGTTAACATCTGTATTATTTCAAGATTGTCTTAATTTTAGTTTGTTAACTGTAATAATGCGGTTAATCTCAAAATGGCTGATTTACTGAATCACTCTTGAGTGTTATGTTGATCTGTCTAGACTTCTAAACCTTTAGCACTTGAATCTGTAGATGTTGATGAGTTCACTAGTGGTTTTCTCAGTAGTTCAGTCTCAGGCTAAAGCGTATAAAGTAGCACTTCTCGTCAGGCATCAGGTGGATGGTGTTTAGCCGTTCATGAACACATGTCCGCAGGCCATCAGCACACCGCAGCGCTGAAGCAGATTCCCTGTTGCTAAAGGTTTGCTGTGCGCTGCTGTGTATTTCCCTCTTTATTTCCTCTCGCCCCTCCATCCTTTCTCTCTCTTTCTCGATATGAGTTGTTCGGCTTCGCCCACTCTTCAGCCCAGAGCACCTTGATTAAGTCTTGACAGCTTTCTATTTCTCTCTCTCTCTTTTGCGCTGACTTTCCTTCTTTTTTCCTCCACTGCTACTCTTTCATACTTCACTCAGTATTTCTCTTGGGAAGAACCCGACTCTCTTGATTTTATTTTTATGAAAGTTTAGTGAACAGTGTGCTGTCTGGAGGAACTTTCCAGCTGTCCTGTCCCGTATCTGTATGACGGGAGATGGGCGATCAAATATTGACAATAAATTTGTGAGGATTTTGTTGGCGATGTAAAATTGAGTATTACAGTGCATTGCTATTCAGCCATTAAGTTTCCTGATGTTTTTTTTGTCTTGCATCTTGTAATTAATAGTGTTAAGATAGAGATGCTTTAGTAAAATAAATTATTTTGATTCATTTCATTGAATCAGTGAATTGATATGGCTTTTTAGTATATAATAAAAGAAATAATATATATGTAAACATATATACTATATATAAATTTCATGTTTAACTGTTGTAAAAAATGTGTTTGTGTATGTATATATATATATATTTATTTATATATGTGTGCATATATATATATATATATGTGTGTGTGTGTGTAAAAATAAAATAGAGCAAATATACATTTGAATTTTAATGACGTTTTATAAACAATTTACACATACATATTGTATATAAATTTGATGTATTAACATTTAACATTACATTTATATATATATTGTGTGTAAATTATTTCATTTATAAAAATTGTGTATATATATTTACATAACACTGAATATTATTTACAAAAATGTTCTGTATAATATTCACAAAAATAGAAAAAAAACATTTTGTTATATGAAACATATATATGCACACACACATATATACATATATAAAAAGCACAACCCCTTTCTTTCTGCACTTGTTAAATTCTGCACTTCCTCATTATTAATGATTCATCGGGGGAGGACGTTCCCACCTGAACTCTGCTGTAGCTGGTGACAGAGATGAAAACAGCGGGCTGTAACTCTGGCTGCTCGTTTAGAGAGGCGGTCGAGGGTGTTCAAAGACGGAAGCATTGCTCTTTAGAAGGTGCTGTTCATGTGAGCTTATTTTTAGCCCTTTCAGACTGTCCATTCACCGCAGATTCTCGAAGATGTTCGGATTTTACATGCAACATATTTAAATTCAAACATATTAGAATTGGAAATGCATAATATTTGGTGATATTTGTCATATTTAGGCCTGTTGTGATTGATTAATCGTCTGATTGTGGCTATTCGATCTAATCACAATTGTGCAGATTAAATTTCAGTCACATTTTGCCATCCAAATGTGGCAAATTTAAGTGCTGAAAGCAATACCACCAACTGCACAATATTCTAATTATATTTATACAATTATATTATACCTAATTATATTATAAATGATATTATTTTTATAAATTGTATTATAAATAATTTTCATAGCATTGAAGTGAATCATACAGGTCTTTTTTATTATTATATTACAATTCCAAGTAAAAAATAACTTCAAAACAATATTAAATAATTATTTGCAATTATCTGTATGATTATTGTCAGCAAAAATCCATGACCATTATATTATATTGATTTATTCTATTATAAATAGTTACATAAATATTATTAATTTTCACTGCATTAAAGTAAATCATACAGGTCTATTTATATTTTTATTTTATTATATTTATATGTGATAGAAAAAGTTAAAAAAAAAACTTATCAGACTTACATGTAGTAACACTATCAAAACAAAATTAAATCGTTAATCGCAATTATTTGTATGACAATTGTGAGCATAAAATTCATGATCGTAATACATTTATTAAAATATATGATAAATTAGTATATAAATTGTATTAATTTTCACAGCATTAGAGCAATTTTTCTGAAAGTTAATCATCAGAACAAAATTCATATTATATTTATTAAATTGTTATAAATAGTTACATAAATATTAAGTTTCACAGCATTATAGCAAATAATGCTAGTCTATTTTTTATTATATTATATATTATATATGATTCAAAATCAAAAATGCATTTAAGCTTACACTAAGTAACATGAACAAAACAGAATTAAATTGTTAATCGCAATTATTTGTATGACAATTAAACGTTAGCACTAATCTCATGATCTATTTATCTTGCTTATATTTAGCTTTTTTAATTTTCTATCTGATTAGGAACCTCAATTTAAGCCAATTTTCAAAAATACTATGTAGTTTTCAATCTTTACTACTGCACATTCAAATATTTGGATGATTTTGATTTTCTTCAGAACCTACTGAAAGTCTTAGTTGTGATTTGGCAGCTTTTATTGCGTCCCTCACACTAGTGGTCAAAGACTGGCCGGTCCTGCGGCGTGTGGAGGAGTGTGACGGGTCGGCTCTCAGCTGCTGGAGGAGTGTGAAAGCGTCTCTGGGCTGCTGGTGTGGGCCGGATCCGTGCCCTGGCCGGGTGAGAAATTGAAATTTTCACCTGGCCTCTGTAGCAGCTGCGGTCGTGTCAGACGGGCGAGCGTGTGCCAGGTCCCTGCAAATGTGCTTATGCGGTATTAAACGCAATCACGGGAAAAATGAAAACAAATGTTACAGGAGGAATTAGACAGGTTGCGTTTGCTCTGCGGTTTAACTGTCATCGCGGTTTGTTTGCTGGTTTGGCTGATGGAAATGTTTCAGTGCACCGTAGGAAAACACTGTGATTGTTTTGGGTTGGACAGATGCCTAAAAAGTGTTCATGTCTTTCTATATCTCTGCCGTTCTCTCTGTCTGTCGTTCTGTCTATATGCCTACCTGTGTCGTTCTATCTGTCTGTCTGCCGTTCCGTCTGGGTCTATCTATCCATCCATATCATTCTATCTATCGGTCTCTCTGTCTGTCATTCTCTCTATCTGTCTGTCATTCTATCTCTCTGTCTGTTGTTTCATCTGTCTGTCATTCTATCTGTCTGTCTGCCGTTCCGTCTGGGTCTATCTATCCATCCATATCATTCTATCTATCTGTCTCTCTGTCTGTCATTCTATCTCTTGTTCTGTCATTCTCTCTATCTGTCTGTCATTCTATCTTCTGTCTCTCGTTCTATCTGTCTGTCATTCTATCTGTCTGTCTGCTGTTCCGTCTAGGTCTATCTATCCATCCATATCATTCTATCTATCTGTCTCTCTGTCTGTTATTCTGTCTCTCTCTGTCGTTCTATCTATTTGTGTTGTTCTGTCGGTCATTCTATCTCTTGATCTATCTGTCTGTCTGTCATTCTGTCTATATATCTGTATGACTTTCATTCTATCTATCTGTCTGGTGTTCTGTCTTTGTGGTTCTATCTGTCTGTCATTCTGTTTCTCTGTCCTGTTGTTTTATCTGTCTGTCATTCTGTCTCTGTCATTTTATGTCTCATTCTCTCTGTCTGTCATTCTGTCTCTCTGTCTGTTGTTTTATCTGTATGTCATTCTATCTGTTTTGTCTTTGTGGTTCTATCTGTATGTTTGTCTGTGGTTCTATCTGTCTGTCTTTAATATCTCTTGTTCTGTCAGTCTTTATCATTCTATTTGTCTGCCATTCTATCTGTCTTCCTCTATCCATCACTCCTATCATTCGTTTCTATCATTCTATTGTTCTATACATATACATATATATATGTATATATATATATCATTATATTGTTTGTTCTACCTCATTCACTTGATATTTCTGTTCTGTCTACTTTATCCTTCTATTGTTTTATCATTCTATCTGGAATGTGTCTGTTAAATAAGATTGATTAATAAAAGGCCATCATTTTTCAATGGAGAGAATAACTGGAATTTTTACTTAAAGAAACCAGCTGTTGTGCATCCTGCATTTTTGATGAAATGAACAAACCAACTCATTAGTAAAATCACTGCCTTGTTTTGTTGCATGCATATTAGCTAAAAGCATTTGTTGCATAATTTTTTTAAACACTTTTTGGTGTTAGATTTGAGCCAGAGAAGCAACATCTATAACGTCATTGTCAGGGTTTATTGGTAATTTTCTGTAGTTTAACCTAATGCCCATTACCTAGATAAAAAAAATAGCTGCTGCTAAGCAAGAAATCACTGGTAAAAACAGGTTTCATTTGCTGAGTTCGGCGGCGACTGTGTTTTACTGCAGAAATTGGGAAATGAAAACGCCTACAGAAGCCTCGACGCGCTCCAAGGCCGCATTTGAGTCATACAGAGTGTGTCATTCTCTTACATGCGTGACCTTGAGCTGTGTGTACTGGTGTCAGTGGGAAGCGCCTCTGCAGTGGGCTGAAGTTTCCAGCATCTCAGAACTCATAATGGATAATCCCCCTCAAATCATCCAGCATGCAGACTCCCCCAATCCTCCCTCTGTGTTATTTCAGCCGCTTTCTCCAGCCCTCGGGCTTGTGTTTCAATGTGCCACTTTGCTTTTTTCCCTTCTTAAAAAACCCATCTTATTGATTTATTTTTCATTGGGTTTGATCCTCTGTCCCAGGGCTTGAGCAGGGCTTAGAAACTAATCCGAGAGCATGTCTACCTTTACACGCATGCTGCTTGCTGTGTACACTTCCAAAAACACTGTTAAAGTCAGCATGAAATCAAAACGGACCCCATTTACTTTTTTAATGCACATTCCCGGTCTTATTGTGAACGATTTGTCAATGCTCATTTTCATTTTAAAGACAGGTTTTTCTATAGCTCATGCTGCGTTCAAGTCCTCCTGGGACGTTCGTACTTACGAGTTGACAAGTCGTAATTACGACGTCAGGTGCGTTCAAGTCAGTTTAGTCGGCAGAAGATGGCGGTGTACCTTCTTTTAATAAATTACAAGAAAATACAACAGTGTCTGTTAACTCTGCTTATAGAAAATGAAGAGCAAAGAATTCGCATCAGGTGTGTTTTGCGTTTTTAATATTTTTTTTAAGACCAGGATCCCAGTATAACTGATTTTCAGTATCAACAAATGCTAAAATACAGAGCTTAAAAAAAGCTGTTAGCTAAATGCAACATGCAACATGGCAAATCAAAAGATTTTTCACCTATAGGTGCAAAAATTATAGCTTTTTTTTTTACCTGGATTTCATTTTTTACTAGCTGCGTAACAAGAACATGACCAATTTAAGTTTACAGGACAACTAAACTATCAATTTAAACAAAAATTTACCGTCAACTACAGACGTTGCATCCATCGATTCCGCCATGTTTCTCATTGACACGCCCCTAAACTCGGAAACTCGGGGCTTAAAGAAAATTTAGAGTTTCCCACTCGTAATAACGACTTTGTGGTGGCGTTCATGTGCGTTCAACTCGTAAATACGATCTATCCGACATGACTTGAACGCACCATCAAATTGTAGAGCATGTCGCCAGCAACACCAAGGTTATAGGTTCAATCCCAAGGGAATGCAGGAATTGACAACATACTGTACTTTCAGTGCAATGTTTTTATCGCTTTTGATAAAAGCATCTGGCAAATGCATAAATGGTGTTATGTGAAACCGCCTTAATAAATAATCTTTAAAGGAATTGTTCACCTATAAATAGCAGTTCGCTCATTTTGTTTTATTCAACCTCACTTAGTTGCAAACTAGTGTTATTTTAGTATTATTTCTGAACTATTACAGTTTTTGCTAATATATATATATATATATATATATATATATATACTGTATATTTAAAAATATTAAATTTTATTTTATTTGTGTATTTTGGTTTAATTTTTAGTAATATTGTTATTAGCATTTGTCTTTATATACTGTATATACAGCGGATAAAAGAAGTATTGAACACGTCACCATTTTTCCCAGTAAATATATTTCTAAAGGTGCTGTTGACATGAAATTTTCACCAGATGTCGGTAACAACCCAATTAATCCATACATACAAATAAAACAAAACAAATAATTTCAGAAATTAAGTTGTGTAATAAAATGGAATGACACAGAGAAAAAGTATTGAACTACTGAAATGTAGCCTTTTTGCACCTCCCTTTCTTCATGTGTTCAATACCTTTTCTCTGTGTCATTCCATTTTATTACACATAATTTAATTTCCATATGCGTGGGAAGTGGGGGTGCTGAGGGTGCTGCAGCACCCCCGTTTTTTTTCTGTGGGCAATAGTTGGGAATTAAAAAAAAAAATCGGAGTGTCTATTTACACTAAGTGCAAATAGCCCGCCTTGTTGGCAGAGGCTATTTACACTAACTCCACCCACCAACGTGTGATTGGGCTAGTCAACATTACAAAAGACGGTCATCAATCATCAGATTCAGTGGCGTAGATGGTAAAGTTTGTGTCATAGGCCTACTCCTTTTGACGCGATCGACCCGGGTTCGAATCTGCCTTTTGGCGAACTTTTTTTCTCCCTTTTCAAATTTCAAATCACATCAGAAAAGCATTTATTTTTAATAAAAATGAAGGAAATAATCAAAAAGTTGAAAATAAAGTATCGGGTAGGGTTAGGGTAGGTGTAGGGAGGGCTTTTGTCCCAATAAGGTGGCATCCATTTAATAATTTGAATTATAATTAAAATTTACACTCAATAAGTTATTATTGCATACTGTTTTATAATGTATTACAATGCTGAGGTGCAGATAATTGCCACTATTTGCAATAAGTAATTAGCAGAATATCCTGCTATTTTAACATAGTATAAATAGAATCTATAGCTATTTGCACTTAGTGACTAAAAAATACTGCTATTTTCACTTAGTGTAAATAGCCTCTATCTGTATGCTGTTATTTTTTGCATTGAAAACAATGGTGAGGATTTTTTAACTTTTTATTTTATGCAGCTCTTTTCCTTTTTGTGTGAGAAACTGAAATTAGATCTTGGATGATCTTGTTCTCCACTGCAGCTCTCAAATCTAATTCTCCATTCGGCATATTCACACTGTCACAACATGTGCCGAGAACCAATGTTGTTTGCCATCAATGACGTCAAACCTGGCTCAACGTGTCCACATGCTTTTCCTGGAGTCGTAATGCAGATGCTAATGCCATTTCAGAGCTTTAGTGGAGGAGAAGATTTCCAGGTAAAGCTCATTCTGTGTAAAGTTGAGGAGTCTTGTAAGTGTCCTTACTGCGTTCCGAATCACACTGGTCCAGAGCGGTCATAAGAGTCTCATTCTAAGCATATGTTGCTTTTATCGTAGCGTCTGTAGCCCTTTGAGTTCTCGGGCACCGTTCCAGCTCACTGCAGGTTACGAGAAACTGGAGTGTCCCGAAATAGCCAGACCTCAATCAACCCGGCAGATTTGATCTGACTGAGGGACACGCTCTCAAAGGCACACATCAAACGGCCACGGATCTTAAAGCTATTTTCCCGTTTAAAGGGGTCATATGATGCTGCTAAAAAGAACATTATTATGTGTATTTGGTGTAATGAAATGTGTTTATGCGGTTTAAAGTTAAAAAAACACATTATTTTCCACATACTGTACATTATTGTTTCTCCTCTATGCCCCGCCTTTTTGAAACGCGTCGATTTTTACAAAACTAATCGGTCTGAAAAGCGAGGTGTGCTCTGATTGGCCAGCTATCCAATGCGTTGTGATTGGCCGAATACCTCAAGCGCGTGAC